AACTCCTAATATTCTGTGATTCTGTGAGTGAACTGAAAATCACAGGAAAGTGCTGGTCCCTTGGGACAGGTGATGGAAGTAAACAAACTAAAAAGCCAGTATGTGAACTGGAAGGATTTTTTACATTTTTCAAGTAGTTTACGGGAAAGCCGAAGTTAGATGTTCTTCATCAAATCAAAATGATTATTTGAAATGTTTTTTTTTTTAATTAGGAGTTATATCCTGCTCTGGCTGCTTGGTAAAACATTGATTCAATAGCAACCAAAAAAGCAGTCACCATAGTTAGATCATGTAGATGTCATAGCAAGAAGCAGGAGTGAGGGTCTGGAACACCTTCCCCGCCAGGGCAGTGTGGTTAGCATCTGTAAAAATGTTGGAACAAAATGTTTCCTTCTCAGATCGTGTCCTTTCCCCTCTGCCTTCCTGACTGAGGCTGTGCTGAAAGGGATGGAAGATTATTGGAGGGGAGAGAAATGCCAAAGAGACATAACAGTGTGTACATGGGGAGGAGAGGAATTACAGCTCTAGTTCGTGAGTAATTTCAATGGATAGAGAAATACACAGGAGCTGGACTTCACTTTTTAAGCAATATAAGAGGAATTAGTGTCCACAAAGGTGAATAGATTGTAGACCAGATGCATGCCAGGAATGGAGTTGTTGCATTTGTAAATAATTTTGAGTTGTTGATAGGAAAACATCTTGAGGTATGTCTCTGTAATTACCTTCTAAGGGGAAGCCCATGGGCAAGCCGCTGTATGGAGTTGAATCATAGACAGTTTAAGCCATGATACTGAGTCAATGAATATATGAGGAAGGATGTAGTCATAGAGAGCTGGTAGGTTTTACATCAGTAGCTCTAGCAGATCATTAGGTATGATAGAGAAGACATTCACTTAAAAACTGCTGTGACTATGGCTTGTGTTTTTTCTCAATATTTCAAGCAGTGAATTGAAAGACAATGATCTTGAGAACCGTAACAGACAATGCAGTGAAGTATTTCAGTCAATAGGCGACATAAAGAGCGCTTTAATAGTGAACAGTCCAGTATTGGCATTTACCAAGGAAACAGGAACACAAACTTAGCAAAGCATAACCATAGTACAACTGGTCGATCTTACTTCCAGTCTGGACATTGAAGGTTCTACCAAAAAAAGCCTTACAAAATACAGAAATTAAATATTTTTCAGAAAGCTTTTAGCAACGCTAGGATATCCTTGCTTGGTTGACTACAGCCCCGTTATTATTAAAGCCAATGAAAGTAAAAACAAACACGGACAAAGGAAGTCAGGTAACTAAGAAAGTTAAAATACCTCCTAAAATTACACAGTACATGGGTGGAATTTAAGTTTCCTCAGACAACTCACATTTTGTGTCTGAGTTGACATTGTTATTATTTCTATAACACAGCTGAAAATGAATGTATTTTCTTCTTCCAGAACTTCAGTTATGTCCATCCAGTATAAACACCAAAGGATGATGAAACTCAAAACCAGCCTACATTTCATCATTAATATCCCAGATGAATTTGATGGGCAAGGTCTTAATTTTGTCTTTAAGAACTTCGTCAAACCTTTCATTTTGTGCCACTGTCATGATGTTTTTCCAGTCTCCAACAGTACCTGAGGAAAGAGGCAGCAAAGGGAGGTGAGAAGCAGAACGTGCACCTCTCTGAACCCCACTGCAAACACTGAGTGCAAGTCTCAGGATGCAATTCCTGGCTTCCTCAGTATCTCCCTGTCACTGGCCTGCTGGGTGAAGCTCTGTGTGCTCTTTTGAGGACATGCTTCCAAATCTAGGTGCTGTAGACCTATAATCCTGACTCCTCATAAAGTTATTCAACTCATTTATTCTGGTGTTTTACTGATTCCTTTGAGATCAAAGAGGAAGTTACTAAAAGCAACACCTCTCTTTTTTCTCTCAGTGCACTGTTCTCTTTAATCCCCGGAGGACCCCCTACACCTAGGACAACTTAGCAATGCCCAGATGTCCAGGGATGCCATGTATGGATTCAGAAGATAGTTGATTAGGTCTGTGCTCACACAACTTGACTCTTGCCTTGAAAAGTAGGAAACACTGAATCTGTGAAGAAGCTCTGCAAGACAGAGCTATCTTCAGTTGTAAACAGCCTCTCCTCCCATACTGGCAGCATCCAAATGGTATTCACTGTCTCGTCTAAATAGTAAGTCCCGTAGAGGCCCTGAAACTTTTTTTTCTTTGGGGGAGGCTCTTCCTGTGAAAGATTTTTATCTGTTTAGACAACTATGCTCATAATCATGTGAGTCCCTCACTGAAAAAAAATGTATTATCTTACCCCTCGCTCTGTACAACCCTTATATCCTTTCCTGTATCTGATAGGCCTTCTACAACTCATGTTACAATCAGTAAAACATTACCTTTTTATTATCCTTTGGAAAATACAGTAAAATCACTGATGCCACAGCTACAAAACTGCTCTTATAAATTCCATTTGCCACTAACCTGAACTCTCCCTCTGAAAACAGGGCATTCCAGCTGAGACCAGAAACCCTAGGTTCATCTCACACCAAAAAATGTGGGATTAAATAGTTATTGTATTGGACTGCTTCCACTTTACCTTTTCGTAGAAAAGAACCCTTGTCTTTCGCTACAATATCATCTGGCAGGTTCTCATAGTTTGCCCTGGGATCTTTTCTCATGTTCTCAAAGGTAGCCTGTCTCACAACACTGTCCACTTCCTCTTCACTCAGCTTCTTGCCTATAAAGTTGCAGATCTTCAACACAGCACTTCTGAGATCCTGCAATAATGTTACTTTGAAGAGTCATGATGATGCAAAGAGCATGTGTACAGCAGTGGAATACAGGATAATAAAAGACATACATTAACTTGGGTGCAAAACTGACCATCATTTTCACATGAGCACAGTCTCACTTGCATTGATTTAGCACTGGAGAGCACTGATGCTGTAGCCCACTGCGGCAGCGTGCCGTCAGAAACGGGAAAATTTCTCTTCTGCTTCCTGTACTGCAAATCCAGGCTGCAGTCTGTGTTAGATTTTGGGTTGAATTTGACGTTGCAATCACACCTGTCACCATGAGTGAAGACACTTAAACCCTTGGGGGTTTTGTCAGCCTTGTTCTAGAGAGGGACTCGACTCTCCCATGAGCAACCTCAGGCTCTGAAGGCTGAGGGACCAGTGCAGTGGCTGGGGTGCTCTGGTGCTTGCCCACAAGGACAAGAGCAGCCACATCAGAGACATGAGAAGCCGCACAAAGGCATAGACAGCCACCAAGCAGGAAACTTCTAGCCAGCAATTTGAGAGCTCTCAAGCACTATAGAGCCTGCCTCTTAAGCACTTCTTTAGCGGAGCTGTCCTTATGAGCTATAGCACTCCTGTGGAAGACACTTGCAAAAGTGTCTCTTCTCTCAGAAGTTTCCATGTGAATCTAGTGAGGATTAAGCACTTCGCAATATAAAATGTACTTAAAAAGTCCTATGTGAAAATGCATTCAATATAGGAAGAGAATATCTTGAATACAGCAATAATAATTGACCTCACCTTTTTCATTTCTTCATAGGTAAGGAAGAGTATATTGAAATCCTCTGCATGGCTGTACCAGCCTGAAACGTGATCCAGCCATGAACTGGCAAGTACTTAGCAAGGGAAATTATTTAAAAAAAAAAGAAAAGAGAGAGATACTATTAACAGCTAGCAGTAAAACAGTAAAACTATCAGTTGGTTTTTGGCACCCCCAGTACTCCTGAGGACAGAAGTGCAGGCATCCCTCCCTTCTGTTTCTTCTTTCCTTAATGTTCTGAGGGCTATTGTGACCACAGAGGCACAATCAGATGGGCTTTTCACAGGGAGTGGCAACACTGTAGAATGTAAATCCCAGCGGAGATTATTTGCAATCCACTGTGTACTTTTAGGTCTTTTAAGGGTTTTTTTTAGCTAATATTTTTTTATAAATTGAGGGATGCATGTTCACAGTCTTTGTGACAGTTCTCCAAGCTAATGTGTCAAATCCCCTTTTGTTTCTAGTAATCTGAACTAATACTGGCAGAAGCAAAAAACTACTTCTTTATCTTTTCTGTACGGTGTCTATTCTTACAGGTACGTCTCCACTAACCAAATGCAGAAAGTGTTAAAACATTTTGAATCCTAATGGTTATATTCTGAATCAGCATCCAATTCAGATAAAATATGCAGTTTGTTGTTGAGGAGCAACAAAGTCATGACTGTGCTACCCCTTTCAGACCAGCTTTAATCAGAAAATGGTGTTAAGCTCAGACAGCCTCTGCAGCTTTGGGTTCAGGTTACAGCATAGCTGAGGATTCTGGTGATTGGTATTTATTGATATAAACTAATCTCTATTCAATCTGAGGACATGCAATAAGATTCGGGCTCCTTAGTAAAAAAGATGTCCTACCTTTGCCTGCTAAAAATCTCTCCATGAAAAGGTTAAAATCTGGTATTTCCTCTAGCGTGGTCATGTATTTGGAGAAGTGGTAATAAGAAACCATAACATCCTTAGGGTTCCTGGAAACATAAATAATCTGCAAAACAATAAGTCCAGTATCAGAGATATTAAAGGACTCTATTACCCTGACCATGAATGCCGTTTTCCATACAAGTCTTACTAAAAATATGTGAAAACAGTTTGAAGGTGACAATCACATTAGATACATTCTAGATAATGTAGAGCTTTTGATTTTTTTGTAGAAGGTGGCGTTAACCCCTGTAGTTGTTCAATGCCTGTGGCTAACCCTCTTTACGAGATCAGTGTTGCAGGCTTCGGTGATACTTTTCTCTTGTGCAAGGCAGCCAGGTTGCAATATCAACGCTAGAAAATAATTTTGACTTTCTCATTAAGTTGATTCAGTTTCACATTTGTATGTTTAGTCACAGTGAAATGAAGAAGAATTTCTTGTAAATCCCAGCTTTGACAGTGTTGGCAGCATTGACACTTTGTGTCCTCAGCTCATGGCCTGTGGTGCTGATGCCAGATGTGGCATGCAAGCAGATTTCTAATGACACGGAAGAGAGAGCCCTGGCATCTTAAAAGAAGGACTTGTTATGGGCAAAGGCTTTTTAGGCTCCTGCTGACTCCTGACCACACGAGAGCTGCTGCCTCAAACAAAGAGCAGGCACTACCAGTGAGATGGGCAGCCTCCTGCCTCTCAACAGTGCCAGCTTCTAAGTTCCTGCTGCTTAACACTTAGTGTCTAATTAGGAAGAGAAAACAGAGACTGGCATGTCACCCTTACGAGGTTACAAATATTTGCAGGGAGAATGACACTCTCAGACTGCTTTTCTAACTGGGTGAAATGACTACCTTTAATTCCTGCTTAAATGAAAATTTATCTGATTATCTTAGCAAAACCAGAACCATTATTTACAATGTATATAAAATAAGGATTCTTAAACTCAATAGATGCCTGTTTCAAAAGCTCTGACCTAAAATCACAGAAAAAAAATTATTATATGGTTTGATACAAAATACAAACAACCTGTGTGACATTCGAACAAAGGTGGAAAAGATCCCCCCATAAGCAATATTCTCCTGAAGTCACAACAGTTTTCATATTTTCGGACATGTGCTCTGTGTGATTTTTGGACAACTTTCTCATTCTTCATTGAGCATCCTTTCACAGAATCATAGAATTATTTGGATTTCAAATCTGCTGCATGTGAGCTTTCTCTTCCAAACTTCACTGATATTGTGAAGAAAATGATGAGCACGTTGTAGTTTCCTATTACAGCTGTATCTGTGAAGAGGGTTAACAGTAGCACTAAGAGCTTGGCTTCATAGCCCCTCTGGGCAGAGCTCTGCCACAGCTCTCCACTCACTCAGCCATGGGAAGCCCTACAGCAGAAACAAGGATGAAAGGGGCAGAAATCATGGGGACCACTCTAAGAAAGACTGGCAGAAGTACGAGATCCTTTGCCAGGGAGCAAAGTAACAATTTGCTGTAAGGCAAATTGCTAAGGCAATTCTCAGTGTGCTGTTAGAAGTATACATCCTGCGTACATCTTCAGACTTTCCCATATGCTGCCGTTGAGCCCTAGTGTAGTAGCCTGGGCACATCTATCTCTAAGGAGGTATTTTCCACAGGAGAGAGCCCCTGAGCTATGGCACAATTCATGATGCAGAGTCCTATTCAGAAACTTACAGCACTGGGGAGCAAGAAAAGGCAGTTCTTACATTCCCTCTCTGCCTTCTTTAGTTCGATCCTACTCATATTTTCAGTGCAGGAGACTTTTTTTCAGACTTAGGGCTTCGCTGAATTGGACATTTTCACAAGGGGAAGATCAGTGTAAGTCTTTGACCCTGGCAAGTCTTCTGGAGCTGAACCACCCCTCTCTCTACTAGTGCTGAGGCTGGGAGATTTGGCAAAGGAAATAGAAGAAATAGCCTTTAGAAGGTCCCTGATCTCCCCATGTTTATGAAGCAGTTGATATTTACACTGACATGGAGGACTGAAAGAGGAAAAAGGTAGGATTTGGACCAATTCACTGAGGCAAATTGGCATGATTGGTTTTAAGGTTGTAAAAATAACATCACTTACACGTCCTCTTTTGTTCCTCAGGCCTCTTGGAACTAAGTAGTAAGGCAAGTGGGTGGCAAAAGTACGAGGTGTAGGAAATTTTGTATAATCCATATCTTTTACATTGTATTCCAGCCATGGGATTCTGTCCATGTTCTCCACATTTTCTGTTCCATTACGGTGGCCTTCATTCATTATTAAACTCAAAATGTTCTGAGTCCACACAGTTCCTGAGAAGGAAACCTTTTTAATTGAACCTTGCTTGATTTGGGTTTTTTTAATTAAATATAGTATATTGCCATAAACACAAGCCTTTGGACACCTATAATAAGCTTCATTTTGTAAATATAATTACAACTTCGCATACTGAAGAAAACAAATATGGTCTTGGTGACTGCTGAGTGCAGATGGAAAGCATATTTTTGGTTTTTTCCCTGCAGAAAAGCCATGGCCAGTAACTAAACCTTCAGTTCTTCACCCAGTATATGTGGGAACATAAAAGAATGAGGAAGTATGGCAATGCAGCAAGAGAACGACCTGGAAGTAAACCACCCGGAAGCGGAAGTAAACCATCCGGAAGCGGAAGTAAACGAAACCAGAAAAAGGATGTGGGCGGTGGCATGTGTGTAAGATAGTAACCAGTCATGTATTAGCTTAGAAAATATGGACACATACGTAACCAACAGAAAAGTTTATGTAGGGTGACTAAGGGATTTTAGACTATAAAAGCAGAGCTTCTGATAGAATAAAGGTCTTCACTTTATAACTCTCATAGAGTTGTCTGGAGTCTGTTATGTGTCTCTCCCCCTCAAGTATACTCAACATCCACACAAATAATGTCTGTCCTCACTCTCTTGTGGCAGCATGAATTGCTGCATCTCTGTGGACCACACACCTAAAAATATCTCATACTGAGTGGGTCTAGAAAGACCTTTGATTCCAGGCTGTGCAGTGTTGTGAGATGTCATGAAACAAACAGCTGATAACACCATGTTTGTAAAGCACAAATGAGCCCCACAAAACAAATGCTTGTGGCAACTGGCTCTCTAAAGTTCCTTGGGGAAGATCTGACTCCTGGGTCACAGCTGCTGGGGAGGATGGTCTAAAAAGGCAGTACCTTGAAGGTGGCTGACTGCCATGCCAGTATGTGTTCATGTGCCAGCTGGTGACAGTGGGAAGCAAATCCTGAACGATTAGCCCACTTGAGCCATGTGCAGAAGTGTTCAGCTCCAGGTCCTCTGGCCTTCTCAGCACTATACTAGTGCTGGTTCCTTTCCCTTTTTATACTATAGGCCAGTATAGATGGACACTTGTGAGGATTCAAATCAGTGCAGAAGAGCATTGAATAGTTGCTGTGGGTTACTCTGAACAAGCACAGAGAAAGGAAGGCATCTGAAACTGAAGTCTAACTGTTAAGACCTCACCTGGGAAGGAAGATCTTGGCTCTGGATATTAGACTGTATGTGTGTTGTAGATTTAAAATCAGTGAAATAGCCCTAGAATTTGGAGAAACAATACCCAGTGATGTCCAGCTGTGTTGACTGTCTTACTCTGCTTGGCGTAATCAACCTGGACAATTTTTCTGCACAGTGGTAGAGTTTCAACAGAAGGATTGAAGGGTACCTTAGATTTGTAACTGGTGAGGAAGAAAGAGGATGGTGGAGCAGGATAGAGGAAAAGGTGTGAATGAGAGACAGATGACATTCAGTGCAATTCATAACTCAAAATCATCTTCCAACTCCTTCCTATCCCAGGGTAGCCCATCACTTTGCAACACAGAACTCCTACATCTAAAGATGTGCTTATCTCAGTGCCATAACATCTTTACCCCTTAAATACTGCCTTCTCATCCTCCCTTTTTGCCGTGCTTAGCTCACCCTGGTGCTGCCTGATGATGAGCTGGCATTGTCTGAGCTCCCTATACCCTCATTCTGTTGACCATGATCCCTCCACAGGCTTCTCCTACCTCATCTACCTTCACCACAAGTGTTTCATGAGTCACAGCAGGTCAGTTTGGTTTCTGTGTAGCTTGCTTTGAGTACACCTGCAAGTGTAAGTCCAAGGATAAGTTGAACCAATTCGGCTGGATGTAAGCAGGAATCCTGTGTCTGAACAGGAACCTGTTCAGCCCATAGCTATGCAGAGTTTGTACTTAATGCTACACTGGATATACTCAGAGACGAGTGAGGTCTAAAATCAAAGCTAACAACTCTGGGTACTTCTACAGTTAAATGGCAGGTTTTCCCCCTCTTTAGAAACAATTCCATTCTTACCTGATTTGGGGTAAGTAGCTATAAATATGTCACTGTCTTTGATCTCAAAATCCTCCAGGGTAGATACATACTCAAGTGTAGTATTTACACCAAAATAAAACCCTTTGTAATTGAATACAAACTCTTTTGATGGTTCCATTGTTAATCTGTTGTCCTTATTGGTGAATAGCCTGCAATAAGAAAATATGAAGTTGTATCTTTCTTCTTTGGTTGTTATCTCACAGATACAAACAAACAAGTAATTTGAACACAGAATCCAGTGCTGACAAATTCTAGCAAAATGCATTTCAGCAAAATTCTAAAAAAAATACACTGAAATCTAGCTTTTAGATTTTCACAAGAATATGACTCAAGATATATTTCTAATGAAAAAAATATTTATAGCAATACCCTTTGCTCATAAACAAGTGTATGCCACATGCATGTAAAAACTGATGTAACAGAAGATATGTAAAAACCATTTGTCAAGATTTCTCTTGGATCTGAGTGACTGCAGAGTTTTATTTGGGATGTCAGTAGCTCTTGAGCAGAGCTAGCTTAACTACCAAGCTCTCGTTCTGAATTTTATGAGTGAAACTGTTCAGAATGTCTTACTACAGTTTCTGCCTCCTTCTACTTATTCTATCTCATTAGTAATGTTTCTCCCATAGTAAGCATTATTTCTGCAATCTAGGATGGCTAAACATGAACATGTCTTATTTTCTTAAACAAGCCTACTGGTTTTATGAGATTATTGTCTCATGTCTCATTAACACCATTGCGATGTATTTGCCAGAAAAATATATCAATCATCATTGTTGTGGTTACTAAGGAAGAGCAAATGCTTGGGGAGATATGGGAAGAGATTCAGAGAGAGTGAGGAAAGAGACTGACTCCTGTAGCTGAACCAGAGTCAAACAGAGCACTGAGGTTTCAAGGTTTTGGTCTGTGTCTCTTCTGTAGTCTTTGAGATAAATGATATATCCATGGATTTCGGTGAGCTTAACATCCCAGTCTTTCCCTCTCTGCTCTGTAGATGAACTGTTTATTAATACCATTAGACAATGGACAAGCCTTGGCAGAAAATACATAAGCAAGTTCACTTAAAGTCTTGGATATCACAAGCACCATCTAATGTGGGTTAAAATATATTTGGAAAGAGAGACTTTCCTATCTGGAATTTTGTCTGGTATTCTGTTCCCTGCCTTTCCCTTGCAATGTGACTGTTTCTATGCCCTCTTGGACTGCTGCGTCTGCCATTGCTCCTCCGTCGGGATATCACCATTACTCCACCATAAGCATATCACCCTTGCCCAGATTTGTTGAATCAGCTGATTGTGCAAGACGTACCAGCCAAGTGATCTGAATTCACCACAACAGGCAGTCTTTGGCTATCAGACAGACAATCCCACCTATTATATTTGCTTTTCTCCATTTCATGCTCTTTTTCCTCTTTGCCTTCCTGCACTGTCAGCTTCCCTGGGCCAGGTGCCTGCTCTCTGCCCAGCCCTGCACTGCCCCTCTGCGCTGCACCAGCAACACTGCCTTTGGCAGGAGCACTGCCCTGGACCCATGCAGTTGAGGATGTGCCCTCCCACTCAGACGCCTTGGAAAGCACCTGGGATCTCTGGTGGTGTGGCTATTCAGGTTAGTTGGCAGGACAGGGAAAGGGGCACAGTGGCCACTGCCATGACTGAGGTCAATGATTACCTGCCCTGCTCTGGGCACATGGGGCTGGATTACCTTCACCAGCCACAGGAGGACACACGGACATCACTCAGATGCAGTGAAGGCTGTGGCATGCGCTGATCTAGATAACTCCTTGGGCACACAGTGCTACCAAGTTTTAAAACAAATACATGCCTTTGTTTTATGAGATTAATCAAATTTAGTTTCTCCTATTAGCACCTGCACTTGGTATCCTTAGGCAACAAAAAAAATCCTTTGGTCTGGGGGATGCACAAGCTCAGTTCTACTGCCAAAAACCCATGGGCAAAGAAATGTGGCTGGATGTCTCCTTCCTAAGAGAACTGACCCCTGTGCTTAAGTTGCCCTCCCTCTACCCCTTCTCATGGTGTGGGCCATGGCCAGGGCAGCAAGAGCAGAGAGGAGAGCAAGGGGAGCCACTGCTGCATGTGGTGAGGGGCTGCCTGCCTCACCTCGTGGAGACAGGGACCACCTGCGTCAAAGCCTGTGAGGTGCTGCAGCCTCACAGCGAAGCCTATGTTTCATGGATTGAAACAACCCCCAGTGAATCAGAGCATGAAATGGAGAAATAAAACATGTTTATAAACCAAGGGATGGGTACACTTTTAAATTCAAGTTGTGACAGCAAAGCTGGGTAAGTCCTAAGAATGCAAAGATATGGAGAATGAGTGAAAAATGTTACTGATATAGGAGATAAAGCAAGGAACTTGTGGGAAACAGAAAGGAGAGGCATTCAATGCACAGTATACAGAAACTTTCTTGATCTTGTTCTGTCAAAAACTTGAGTTTTTATACCCCTTTGGGATAAAGGTTATTGAACTGGTTGTTTCTTTTAAATGTATGAAAATACCATGAAAAAATTTAACATGGAAAAAAGTCTTGCCCCATTTCCTGGAAAGCCTATTCATGATCTAGTGTACATGACAGGAGAAAAAATAAACACTCAGGAGTGCTCATACCAGCCAGCTACACATCTCGAAAACACATCTCAAATATCTGTTTCCAAAAGCAGATACAAAGGTGTCTGCCAGTTAATCTCCTAAATCCACAGTGACCACACACTTTTACTCTGTTCAGTTAATTATCTCACAGCTATGACTCTGATTTCTTCATTGAGTGATACAGAAAAGCCCATGTGAGACCCCAGTTTCCATACCAGCACTGAGATAACCCTGCTCTGGACATCCGTCCTCCTTTCAAGCACAGGACAGCTCCAGCCCTAGTTCTCTGCAATTCTTTCTGGCAGTACATGCCAAAATTATCTGCAAAAGAGGTCTATGTACAATTCTTATTATTATTTTACTTGAGAGTGTAATAGAGCATCATTTAACTCACAGATCTACTATTCTCATAATGTCAGGCATGCTTACCTTCTCTGCTCTCCGTTCGGTGCCCACGGACACGTATGCTACTATTTCCCCGCTTGGTGACTTGGTGACTGCAAGCAGTTCTAGAGATGAGTGAGCTGTCAAGTTTCCTTTTTAACTGAGATGTGAACCCTTGGACACTGTGCTGGTTGGCTTGCTTCCAATATTTGCTTATCTTCAACGTAGACAGAGATAAGAGAACTAATACAACTCTCAAAAAAGTGGAAGCAGCCCAGAAAGATTTTTGAAACTATTTAAATGCTCATTTTGATTTCTATTCCTACTTTTTTAACAACTGCATTATTGAGGAATATTGGAGAGCAGCAGAAGTGAATAAAAACTTTAACTTTTTGGTAGATTTTCTTTTCCCCCTCAGCTTTCACTGAACTTTTGCCCAAGTTGGTTTTTATCTCCAAGCTATGTGTGATAATAGTCCCAAAGAATAGCCTGAATCCACTACTCCACGAAAACGGCTGATAAGACAGGTCCAACCTGATCTCAGCCATGAGTCTGGAATGAGCTACTTGGGTTTATCACGTGTCCGTGGTCGTGTTGAGTAAGGTATTTTATAGCTAAAATAAAATAATTCCTGAGGCATTTATCACTGAAACCTGCACTCCAACAACATCACAAAGAACATATTGTTCCCCAGGTCTGTGCTGTGTTTTGTATAGGATTACTTTTTAACCTGGATCAATTCCCCAGGTAGTCCCCAAACTTGCACAACCTATCAGTCGTGTTGGTCAGCATGTGAATGAGCCAGAAAGAGAATTAAGGTTGAGGTGGTTTTCACCACAGAGGAAACCCTTGTGGTGACAGATTCAGCCTGTTCTGCTTTGCTTTCTCCTCCTAACAGGCATCTCTCTAGTATTTTTTAACTGCAATTTCTATTTCGAGTGTTCAAGAATAATGAAAAGAAACATCTATTGATCCCAAAACTAGACAGGGAGGTGCTCTACCAGATGTTCCACCCCTTGGCGCATTACTCTGAAGAATCCAAAGAGTAACAGCTATGGTCTCACATCAGCTTCGTGAACTAGTTGCAGAGCCAACAAGCTGTGAGTTAAGGCAAGAAGTGATATTTTCTTGTGAAAAGAAATAGAGGGTAAAGCGATTTGTCAGCCAAACTGACAGATAGTGAGTGGGGAAAGTACATGAATACTGAGGATATTGTAAAACGTCAGCACCCTAAGGTTAGGATTTGTCCCTGTTTGTCAGTAACACTGAATTACAGTCTATCTGCCATTAACTGAATGTTACTATCATGTGTATTATCTTTTTCAGGAGAAATAGTCCATTGCAATATTAATAATTAACCTTGGGATCCAGATACCTAACATATACTTATATTGTACGTGCAGTTGCACAATGTTCAGTTGGAGACTGGGAAAAGATATATATGGTTTACTGTAGAATTTAAACAAAACCAATGTTCCTGGTGCTGTTAACCTCTTCTTTCCTTCTGTGGTTGTTTCCTTTGGTACTTCACACCATACACACAATACATTTCTGTATATCACAGTAATCACAGTTCTTTCACAAGCCTCTACAGTGACAGCAAACTGATATAGCTTTGAAGTTCTCTATACAGACAATAGACAGGCCTCCTGCCTTCCTATACTGCAAAATTGAAATGTAGAGTAAATGCCTAAATTAGGCACGTGGAATCTCACAATAAGTTTCATATAAATTACTTCAAAATACATACAACATGACATAGCAAAAAAGGGAAAACTGAATTAGACCACTTCAACACTCATTTTAGAAATCTGCTTAGGAACAGATTGTTACCAAACAAGTGAGCGGAAAAAAATAAAGGTTTGTAATACATTCCTCTATTTTAAATAGGTAGTATTATACCCCAATAACATCTAGTATTGACTCTTACTGCACAAAATACATGCCAAAGATACATGATGCCTAAGTTACTAGCGAAGCTTCTCAGAAGTTAGCATTGCCTGAGGGTCACAGTCAGGTGGAAGGCCTAATGCAGTCATTTCTCATGAATACTGTGTCTGCTCTCTCCTACAGGATTTCTGTCACCTGTATACTCTGTCTCCCTCTTTCTTTCACTCCTGTAATTCACAACTGGATGCATTTCACCTGTGTGTCA